GGGTGCTTAGTCCCCCAGATCCTAAAGCCTTTTTTTTTTTCACTGAGACTTAGGCCCATCTAAAAGTTTCTTTACCTGTTCTCATACCTGTACTAGTAATAAGACATAAATATAAGTTGTGGTGAATTGAACCTTTGTAGCAAGTATCACAACATAACAGAAATTTAAAACAATACAAAAAAATCACATGATTTCTTTATCCAATCATTCAATGCAATCGTATTATTGTAATTATGCTGCTACTGTTAACATTTAATATATAAGATAAATACTGTTAGATTGCACACATGTTAATCAATATTCAACGTTGCACTTAACCACTGATTTCTCCTGATTTATTAGCAGTACTTTTGATAGTACATGCTTTATACTAAAAACATTCAAAAGTTACTAGAAATTATGAAAAATAACTTTGCTTCCTTTTAAAATTTGAACGTGTTATACTGTGTTGCTGGTTATTCCAAAAGGTCAGGTGTGTTGTCATGGCCAGCAACGTTGACTGTGGGTGCTGTTGACAGGCTGGCTTATCAATGACCTTTCGGTTCAAAAATAAGAACAGATTTATATAGTTTTGCGCGTTAATTCTAAGCTAAGCAAAGACTGTTCCAACAATATGTCGCTTTCATCTGAAATATGCCCTCCAGTGGCACAGCTGTATGTCTGCGAACTTATAACGCTAGAAACCGGGTTTCGATACTCATGGTGGGCAGAGTACAGATAACCCTTTGTGTAGCTTTGTGCTTAACTTCATACAAACAAACATCTCAAATAAAGAGTACTTTCAGCATTGAAGCTGTAATTACTATCGTAAATTGTGCCTGTGTGACTTGATGTCAGAAAAAATGTTTTTTTTAACCATTTTGTAAAGGTTTGTTTGTTTGGAATTAAGCACAAAGCTACACAATGGGCTATCTGTGCTCTGCCCACCACGGGTATCGAAACCCGGTTTCTAGCGTTGTAAGTCCGCAGACATACCGCTGTGCCACTGAGGGGCCTTTTGTAAAGGAAAATAAGTTTTATATTATGGTAGATCAAAACAAATGTTGCCTTAATTAACACTGTTTAATTATTTAAAATAAATTAACAACGGAAACTACTTTCTAAAAGCGGGTTTTAACACAAGTATAGCTTATCTTTCTTTGTTTGTTTTGAATTTCGCGCAAAGCT